TTTCCCTTTGCTGTTTTTGTTAGATATCAAGTAGAAGTGAGAATGTGTATAAAACATGTGCAAGGGGCCAGCAGGTAGCGTGGTGAAGGCGGCTAGATCCCACGTGGCTGTGTCTGTGGCTCAATCTTAAATGTGGCAGCTGGAAAGTCATGCTGGGCTCATGTGCATGTGTGCCCCAAATCCTAAGAGGAGAATAGAGGAGGAGGGATTGCGGCGTGGCTGTGGCCCCTCAGTGGGGACTTTCTCTCTGGGTCTCTCCGGTGAGCATGCACACTATGCACCCTATGGCAAAACCTTAAAAAAGCAAAAACAAAAACAAAACAAAATCCAACAGCGAACACATACAGGACACAAGGAGCACCCATGCAGAGCAGATGGTTGGTCGCCGTCACCTTTGCAGCCCCCGCGAACTGCCTGGTCTCAACCATTCCTCCCTCTTGGGAGGGAAGCATTTCTCCAATATCGTGCTTGAGTCCCTGGCTGCCTTTGTAGTTTCCTCACAGAAGATTGTGACCTTCGGCGGCCCACTGTTCACCTTTACCCTCGTGGACCTTCTGTACGCTGAGTCCTAGTGTGCATCCGTCCAGAAGTTGCTTTTGTGGACCACCGTGTGTGTCCCTGAGACTTATTTCCAGGGTGGAGCTATGGGTCATTCATTTTCATGGCTGTGAAATTATAGGAGTGTACCACAATGTATCCATTCTTGGGGGAATCCTCCCCCCTTTTAATTAAAATTGGATTTCCTTTTTCTGTACTTAGTGGGATGTCTTGGATTAGACTGGAGAGGACCTAGTCCTCTGATGCTAGTGCTGAAATTGGCCCCAGACTTTTGGTGTTGGAAGTCTCTCTTCACTTGTCCTTATTGAATTTCCTCACCCAAAGGCAGAGCTCGGCCGTGAGATCCACGCGTTGGCTTCAGCTGGCAAGCCTCTGGCCTCGTGGACTGCCCAGCAAGGAATTCAGGAATGTCGGGAGGCATGCGGAGGACACGGATATCTGGCCAGTAGGTTTTGGAAAACTGTTGGTGATTTCCTGACCTTAGCCCTCCCATTTGACTCTAGATCAGGGGTCAGCAAACTACTACCTATGGGCCAAATCCAGCCTACCGGTGTTTGTATAAATAAAGTTTTATTGGAACACAGTCACACTCATTCTCCATTCATTTAACATTTCCAGTGGCTATTCTCCCACTATAATGACATACTTGAGTAGCCAGGACAGAGACTATACTGTTTGCAAAGCCTAAAATACTTGGTGTCTGGCCCATTACAGAACAGGTTTGCCAACCCCTGCCCTAGACAGATCCTTCTGCTTTCTGATGCCTGACGTTTCTTCAGGAATAATGGTGAAGTATGGAGAAACTGAGTGAATGAGCTCATTAGAATTCAAAGCGGAAGGTAGCTTATCTGTTTGACTTGTAACTTGTTGTCTAATGACTTAGTAGTGAACTAGAACCAGATTTTATTCTATTCTACTCTATTTTTTTTTCTACTAGAAAATTCCTAAACTTAAGGAAAAGGAAGCGTTTTATTGGCATTGGCTATTGTTTAAACAACTGGTATTTGGTTAAGAGAGAGGGCAACCCGTTAGCTTGGCTGATCGCAGCTCTCACCAGCATTGGAACCAGGGTTGAGTGACTTACCCTCATTGTGCCTCAGTTTCCTTATCGCTCATATGGGGATAACAGTATAATCACAACATAGGATCCTGCAAGGACTAAGTGAATGAATACAAGGGGTCTTCAAAAAGTTTATGGAAAATGTGCGTTATGAAGAAACTATGCATACATTCTAAATTATTTTGCACTGAAGTAAACTTACCCTTTAGTCCCACGTCCACAAACGTCGTGAAGCGTTCTGCTGTAGATGAGATCTGGTATGCGGCCTGTGTCCCATACCTTTACCAGTCGCTGTCGTTATTAGAATTAGGATTATCATTGTTATTTGCCGCTTCCCTGCTAAACTTCCCATGAGCTGACCTTAGATAACCGGTAAAAACCGACTGCTCAGAGGAGACCACATGCAGTGACGGAACGGGCAAGGACTTGGCTGACCTTTGGCAGCACGTGGGGGAGTCTATGAGTGTCTTGCTGATCTGTGACGGTCGCCTGCTTTTAGCCACCAGCCCAGTTGTGGCCCGAGGGCGTGCCAGCTCCAGCCCTTCAGCCCCCTCCATGTGCTCGCTGTGTTACTCACTGACGTGTGGGTAACCGTGGTATACATAAGTTACTCATTTACATGTTTTGTCCTCTGCACAGCGCACTTAGTAGTTTTATTTGTTGTTATAGAGACGCTATAAATAGTTTAGTTTGTTCCAGTTTTGCGTAGAATAAGGAAATTGAATCTTTCAGTTCCACAACCAGTAAAAATGACTAGATCAGGATTCACGAGCTACACAAATGCTAGCTGAGTAAGGCCAGAGTCAGCAGGGCTAAATGTGAAGGCCTTTGTCTAGATTGAAAATATTAATGGCAAGTTCTCCTTCGAAGACCTCTCCCAGCTCTTCATGCCGGTGGCTTAACTGTGGCACGGGAGAACGTGATTGGCAGCAGGCCCGGGAAAGCAGTCACGGCCCTAGGTGGTCACAAGCTGACTGGCAGTGTGGCCGCAGGAGAGCAGCCTACCCTTTGGGGCTCCATGCGTAGCAGGACGTGAGCCCGAGGAGTTAGAGTGTTCCCCTTTTTCCTGCTGGACTCCTCTCATCCCGGCCTCACATGTAGAGGGCATTTTCCATCAGCGGAGACAGTGATTGCCTGATAGAACCCATGATGGAACTGGTTATTTAGCTGGTAGGAGAGACAAAAGAAAAGTGAGAATTGTCTCAGGTATTTGAAATGTTTTGTATAAAAAGAAGGGTTCGTTCAGCTAGAGGAGGAAGGAGGGCAGCCCCTGGGGAGTAAGCTACCCTGAAAATATTCCAGTCTCTGAATGTTCCTGTCCCAGAGGGTAGAGGCTCTGCCAGTGACCTTGCAAGGCTTGATAATAACGAGGGGCAGATGGCAGCGAATGTTTCCTGAGTCCTCAGACTAGCAGGGGGCATGGTGGTTAAGGCAGCTGGATCTCACATGGCCAGCTCCGCAGTTCGAGTCTCAAACTTGCTGGCTTGAAGGTCACTCCAGGTGCGTGTGCACGCGTGCCCAAAATCCCAAGAGGAGAATGGAGGAGAAGGATTGCTGCATGGCCATCCCCCCAAAGGGTGATTTCTCACTTTCTCTTTGTCTCTTTCTGGTGAGTGCACACACCCTATAGCAAAAAGCAAAAACTCAATCGATCAAACATGTGTATGTGTTCCTGAGTCCTCACTGCATTTCATAGCGAGTTGCCTATTACCTTCCCAGCAACCTCCTGAGGTGGTCACTGTGGGGTTCTCCTGTTAAGGATGGAGAGGCGGCTGTGAGTTAGAACACACAGCTCGTTAAGAGGCGGGTCAAGACTTGAAGCAGAGTCGTCAGTCTGCCTCTCTGGTCAAGCCCTGCCGAGGACCTGAGAAGCTCTCATATGGAGACGGGGTTTTCTCACGTGTGCGTCTGCAAGGGTGATCGTGTGACTTTGTTGCAGTGAACCGGATTGGTGAGCTCAGGAATGACAACGACCCCAACTGCACATACGAAGGTGACAACAATGTCCTGCTGCAGCAGACGAGCAACTACTTGCTTGGCCTTCTGACGTGCCGGCTCCAAGGTAAGGCTCCTGGCTGCGTGCTTGGTGGCGGCCCCTCAATCTCAGGCAGAGCGGCGGGTTCCCTGCCCCACCTTTGAGTTAGCTCTTCTATTCAAGAGGAGAATGGAGGAGAAGGATTGCTGCATGGCCATCCCCCCAAAGGGTGATTTCTCACTTTCTCTTTGTCTCTTTCTGGTGAGTGCACACACCCTATAGCAAAAAGCAAAAACTCAATCGATCAAACATGTGTATGTGTTCCTGAGTCCTCACTGCATTTCATAGCGAGTTGCCTATTACCTTCCCAGCAACCTCCTGAGGTGGTCACTGTGGGGTTCTCCTGTTAAGGATGGAGAGGCGGCTGTGAGTTAGAACACACAGCTCGTTAAGAGGCGGGTCAAGACTTGAAGCAGAGTCGTCAGTCTGCCTCTCTGGTCAAGCCCTGCCGAGGACCTGAGAAGCTCTCATATGGAGACGGGGTTTTCTCACGTGTGCGTCTGCAAGGGTGATCGTGTGACTTTGTTGCAGTGAACCGGATTGGTGAGCTCAGGAATGACAACGACCCCAACTGCACATACGAAGGTGACAACAATGTCCTGCTGCAGCAGACGAGCAACTACTTGCTTGGCCTTCTGACGTGCCGGCTCCAAGGTAAGGCTCCTGGCTGCGTGCTTGGTGGCGGCCCCTCAATCTCAGGCAGAGCGGCGGGTTCCCTGCCCCACCTTTGAGTTAGCTCTTCTATTAACACGTGCGCCATGTTTTCAGGAAGGACAAAATGGCACCAGGTAGGGACTGGCCAGCTTCCGAGGTGATGGGCTGAGCAAGGTGGGGAGTGGGTCACTCAGAGGTGGTGCGCAGCTGTGGCTGGCAGTGCCCTCCAGGACACTGTGGTTTGGGGTTCTCCTGCTTTTCACCCCTGCACTGGATGTGTGTCCTAGATGGCGCTCCCTTCCAAAGCCCTCTGAAGACGGTGAACTTTCTAGAAGCCTACCCTGACATCCTCGGCCAGAGGTTCACAGGCCACAGCGTTGCCGACTGCTTGGACTCTGCAGGTAAGTGTGCCCTCTGCTTGGTCAGTGGGCAGAGGGCCTCCCTGGCCTTCTCGCTTGCCCGTCACTACCTGCTGGGGCGACCATGGGAGGACCCCCTCATGCAGTTTGTCCAGGGCGTGTCCATTCATTAACTCATTCTTCCAGCCTCTCTGTACTTGATCTTGAGTTTGGGTGCTAACTCCAAAGATGAGATGAAGAGTACCCACTCCCTACCCTAGATCTGCCCAGGCAAGATAGGACAAAGTGTGTGAGACCCCCGCCATCTGGTCTGCTCTCTGCCCACTGTGCAGCCTCCTGGGGCCTGGCTCTCACCATGGAGACTCACTGCCATCTGCCTATGGGCCTCACTAGTGAATGTCTCCAGGCCTCCCACATGCTTGCTGTGGATGCCGGTGACATCCTCCCCTCTCATCTCCACCCACCAGTCCCCTCCCTGGGTCTCCTCCAGTGTCAGACCCTGGCCGCCTGCCCTCCTGCCCTCCATGCCCCATGTGCCTTTTCCTCCGGCTCCTGAAGCACAGGCTCCATCCACCTGATTGTCTGCTTGCTCATCTCCTGTGGGTGCGGTGGTCTGTTTGGGGCCTGCCTCCCGGGACTCAGCACAGAGCCAGCCTGGAGGGGCCTTCTGCAGCCAGGTCAGGTGAGCTGCTGCAGGCTCCACCCCACCCCCACGAGCTCTGTCCTCGGGGATGGGCTGATCTGCTGAGCCTGGGGCAGGCAGCGCCAGGTGCTGGGGTTGCCCCTGGCATCCTTGCCCTCACTGCTGGTGCTCCCTTGGTCCACTCGTGCAGACTCCGGGAGGTCCAGGGCTAAAGCAGGGCCAGGATTTAGACCTGTTGGCCTTTAGTCAGGGTCTTCCATTACAGCTCACTGCATCTCCCCAATGAGAGACCAGGTGAGATGGGACAGCAAGAACAGGGCGAGAACTGCCCCGCCGCCGAGGTAACGGCTTCTGAAGGCAGTGCCTTTCTCGCAGTGGTCCTACTTTCTCCCCCTCTCATCAGGTCCCATATCAAAACAGTGGCTTCGAGCCATAGCAGAAACGTGGCTTTTCATTTTCATAATATCATTGTCACCTTAGTCATCAGGACGTGGTGAGCATTCCTCACTTGGCCATCCAAACACCTGTCTTCAGGGGCTGTGAGACTTACTTTCTGCTTCTGTGCAAGACCCCATTTGGAGATGGGTCCCAGTGCCTGTCGTGGGCCAGGCAGAAACCGAGGCATACGAGATGGAAAACCAGCCACCTTCCGTGGGAGTGAGAAGTCAGCTTCCCGCTGGCCGCCGAGGTTTCATCCTGGCCCCTCCACCCACCAGCTGTGGGACACAGGCAAAGCCCCCACTCCTCCTCCTTTCATTTTCTTGTCTGGGGCAGGGGACAGTAATGGGAACTGCCTCGTGAGGTTTCTGTGCAGATGAATGAATTACATGTATGAGCGCTCAGTGTGGATCTTGACACGAGTAGGTGCTCAGTGAGTGCACACGACCACGTAAACACACGACATGCTGCCCAGTGAGTGCACACGACCACGTAAACACACGACACGCTGCCCGGTGAGTACACACGACCATGTAAACACATGCCATGCTGCCCAGTGAGGACACACTTTCACATAAACACACTGCCATGCTGCCCAGTGAGTACACACGACCACGTAAACACACGACACGCTGCCCGGTGAGTACACACGACCATGTAAACACACGCCATGCTGCCCAGTGAGTGCACACTTTCACATAAACACACTGCCACGCTGCCCAGTAAGTACACACGACCACGTAAACACACGCCATGCTGCCCAGTGAGTACACACGACCACGTAAACACATGACACACTGCCCGGTGAGGACACACTGAATGGCAGGAGCAGATGCCGTCTCTGCACCCTCCTCAGGAAGAATGCCCGGGTTGCATCATCTGTTTTTTCTGTGAATGCCCTAATTTTTGCAAGGTCCAATGTAGTAAAAAAAGCATTTTCTGGAGGAAGAAAAATGCAAGTGAAATTTATTGGGTGAAAGTGGTCTGGCATGGAGTACTGACATTATTCTTCATGCACAGACAGAGCTCGCAGGATGGAGCCAGCCCTGCCGTCTCGAGGGTGTTGGATCATCAAATCTCAGATCTCGGGGCTGACTGCACGGCCTTTGTGTCATCTAATCTTTGGGGAAAATGACATAATGACTTATGCCCTTCACGTCCTGCAGGACTGGAAAGACATGAGCCTTTTCCAGGGTTGTACTTGCCAGTTTAGAAGGTTGGGAGATTTATCAGACCTGTGGTCCTGACCCTGCAGGGGTTGCTTATTCGGATAGGGGAGGGAAACTGTTGCTTTCTGTGTAGTTCGTCTGATTCGTACACAAACTTGTTCACAGATGGCCCTATGCTTTGGAGGGTCTGCACGGCCACTTTCAGTGCAAGGCCAATTTCTTTTTCTCTAGTTGGCTCATTTGCATCAATATTAAGTAACTGGGGGCCAGCAGATAGCGTAGCAGTTATGTTGTTAGGCTCCCACATGGCCAATCATGGTTCAAGTACTGGACCTACTGGCTGAAAATCATGCTAGGCACATGTGCGTGCGTGCGCAAGATCCCAGGAGGAGAATGGAGGAGAAGGGATTGCAGCATGGCCATCCCTCCCGGGAGGTAATTTCTTACTTTTTCCCTCGTGGTCTCTGTCTGTCTCTCTCTGGTGAGTGCATTTGCCATAAGGCAAAAGCCTCTTAGAAATATTAAGTAATTGTAGTGTTTACTGTTGACAGATGTGTGTATGTATGGGGTAGTGAGGTCACGTGATACAGATCATGAAGCAAGTCACAGGAGGAGCAGTGGGGTCATCCGGAGTGGGCAGTGGATGCCGCTGGCAGAGCAGTGGGGTCACCCGGAGTGGGCAGTGGATGCCGCTGGCAGAGCAGTGGGATCACCCGGAGTGGGCAGTGGATGCCGCTGGCAGAGCAGTGGGATCACCCGGAGTGGGCAGTGGATGCCGCTGGCAGAGCAGTGGGGTAACCCGGAGTGGGCAGTGGACGCCGCTGGCAGAGCAGTGGGGTCACCCAGCATAGACTTTCCAGAGGATGGGAGCTCAGGCTCCAGGGTCAGCATTTCCTCCAAGTGGGATGATCTTGGCCTAGGCTTTCATCTCTCAGTTTCCCTTTTGCAAAAAGCAGGAAGGGAATGTTGTCACTCCTGGTCTGTGCTGTGCTTCATCTGGTGAGGTAGCTGCTGTGTGGTGGAGACACTGCTCCGAACACTCCCTTGGGCATGGCAGGTGCAGGGGAGGTCTGTCTTAGTGGGCGAAGGAACATTTTCCTGAAGCTGGCATGCAGGGGGTACCTGTTATATGTCTGGGGAACAGCCAGCCATTCCAGAGTGCTGGGTGATAAGAGGTGGGCACAGTGGGAGGATCTGGGGCCTATGTGCTGTGAAGGATTTGGGCTGTCACCCATGCCTTGCTATGCAGTCTGTGCCTTGGTCAGGGCCCACTTGGGGAGGGCCCTGGTGCCAACACAGGGGGAGCCTGGACTCAGGTCAGTGAGAATGCTGAGTCTCAGGCAGAGTCGGTGTGGAGGCAAGTCCGTGGTAGGGTAGGGGGATTGTTGACCAGGCCTTGGGTGTCCATCAGATGGGAGGGCAGTGAAAGTGAGGCCCCCACCAGCTTCCCACCTGGGAACTGGTGAGAGTTCAAGTTTGAACACATCTAGTTGTACTGTCCAGAAGCCTCTGGAAGAAGAGGTCTAAGCAGGAGTGGCAGCCCTGGGAGTGATGGAAGGCTGGAGCAAGTGGGTTGGCAAGGAAGGCCTGGCAGAGAGCAGCCATGGGTTAGAGGTCAGACATAGGGGAGTCGCAGGCCAGGGGCGGGACAGTCAAGGGGGTCAGAGAGCCAGCTGGAGTCCTGAGTAGGCCCTCGGGTATGGGACATTCAAGGGCTGTTTGTGACGCAGGATTCCGGGAAAGTTTTGAGGACAAGGTTGTTGAAACAGCATGTGTTTGTTCCTGGGCCCTTAGCAACCTCGTTCCAAACATGAGCAGCGACTGCTGAATGGTGCTACGTTTCTTCCCAATCAGTTTCATTGATGACTCTTCACTTCAAGTCAACTGGGCAAGGTGTACACGTGGCACCCACCATTTATCGCTGCTCAAGTGTGCTGTCATAGGCTCACTGGGGACTCTTCTCCCTTCCATGTGAACGTCTCAAAAAGCTGTGATGTATTTTTTCCCGAACAATTAAGCTATAGGGCCAGCTGGTGGCATAGTGGCTAAGGCAGCTGGATCCCATGTGACTGACTGCTCAGTTCCAGTCCCAGGCACAGGACTGGTCTGAAAATGCACTAGGCATGTGCATGCATGCCCAAAACTCCAAGAGGAGAATGGAGAGGGGATTCTCCCTTTCCCTCTCTTCTCTGGCAAGCTCATGTGCCCTAAAGTCAATTCAAACCAAAAAAAAAAAAGAAAAAAAAAGCTAAAAGTGGAGTTTCTAAAGAAAAATGTCAGGCATTACAGCTTACTTACCAGTCTTGTTTGTCATCTGAAGCACAAAGCAGAATCTGGATGGGTCTTTGCCATAAGCATTGTGGGCTAAATCCAGTTGCAGAAGTAACTTGGAACTTTGGGGTAACTTCACAGTGGAGTGTCTACCAGAGACGAGCCCCCCCAGGGACGTGTGTGAAGATGGCCCCAGGCCAGGCTGGGAGGGCAGTTGTCATGGCCAGCGTGAGTGTGTGGTTGACAGCAGGGGCCCTGGATTGGACCAGAAGCATCAGAGGCATATGCAGTTTCTGGCCCGAGCGGTTTCCTGGGGTTTTGTTGCTGTGTAAACCAATCGTGGAGAATGTGGCTCTCTGCAGGGCCCCTCTTT